TCCAAGTGCTCAACCAGAATATTCTTGTGGTGAAGCCTCCATATAAAGAACCCAGGACAAGTGAGCATTGCCCCTCGGGACACCTGACTCACATGGTAGAGCCTGTGTTCTAGTCCTGGCTCCTCTCCTGAGTCCAGCTTGCTGCTGATGTGCACTCTGGGATGCAGCAAGGGGTTGGATCCCTGCCATGCTCTTGGGAGACCTGGATTGAGTTTCCAGCTCAGCCACTGTGGGCACTTGTGAAGTGAACCAGCACATTGGAGTTCTCTTCCTGCCACAAATAAGTTAAAAATATTTTTTAAAAAAAAGGCTAGAGAGGGTATACATGTGTACATGCATGCTGTGGCATGAGTGATGATGTGTATGCACTGTGTGTGTGCTGGGGCACCTGTATGTTGGTTTCAAGGCACAGGGTGGTGCTGTGGTTCCAGGACCCCTACAAATGATGGAGGCTGCAGTTCTGAGCCTGGAGGGACAACACTGGGGGACATCCACGCTCCCATTCCCAGTATTACAGAAGATAACCCAGCCTTCACACCTGGCCTGGAAACAGCTGAGAGTCAATGGGTAGCAGAAGGACCTGCACAGAGACATCACTGCAAGCCACCCAGTCTGGATTCTTTCCATTTTCTGGCCAAGAATGCACATTCACCGCAATCCAAGACTTACACTATGGCTTTCACATGAAGGCTTTCCACAGGAACCATAACTCCCTCTCTGGAACAGTGTTTCTGGTTAAGATGCATGGGTGTTCTCTTTTATGCCTTCACTTTAATGTGGTCAAGCCAGGAATATAAAAATAGGATTTGGCCATTATTGGCTATGAATTACCTCAATAGTAACAACATAGTAATAAGGAATTTGGAGTTTGTTTCCTTAACTTCAAGAAAATGAAAAGTTAGGAGAAGGTTTATATTGTGTCTTTAAAGGTGAAGACTCGTTTTGCACACAGACAAGACATTTGAATGATAAGTGGGGGTTTGCCTGTGCATCACTTTTAATTTGCCAGTGTCCGTTTTCCCCACATGTAAAGTATTTATAAATTAAAGTCGATTTCTAAGACCCGGCGTAGTAGCCTAAAGGCTAAAGTGCTCGCCTTGCATGCACCAGGATCCCATTTCCTGGCTGCTTGGCTTCCCTTCCAGCTCCCTGCGTGTGGCCTAGGGAGGCAGCAGAGGATGGCCCAAAGCCTTGGGACCCTGTGCCACTGTGGGAGACACAGAAGAGGCCCTTGGCTTTTGATTGGCTCAGCTCCAGCCATTGCAGCTTCTTGGGAAGTGAACCAGTGGATGGAGGATCTTTCTCTGTCTCTCCTTCACCCTGCAGATCTGACTTTCCAATAAAAATAAATAACTAAATCTCCAATAGGTAAATAAATAAATAGACCTGACGTTTTCAAAAAAATGAGTTTAAATTTTTTTTCTTTTCTGTATTAATTTATGTATTGATTTGAAAGGTGGAATGTCAGAGAGCAAGCAAAAGAGATTTTCCATCACTGGTTCACTCCCCAGATGGCCACAACAGGCCAGGCGGGGCCAAGAGGAAGCCAGGAGCCTGGGACTCCATCCAGGTCTCCCAGGGTGCCGGAGGCCCAAACATTTGGCTTTCTTCTGCTGCTCTCCCCAACACATTAGCAGGGAGCTGGACCAGAAATGGAGCAACTGGAATACAAACTGGCATGTGAGATGCCAGTATCACAGGCAGCTGCTTTAACCCACTGTACCATGATGCAGCTAAGAAATGTTTGTTTTTCAAAGTTGGAATTTCATGCTTTTACTTAAGAGGAACACAAAAATGCCTGTCTCTTTAATACTCACACAAATGCACAAAACTCACAAACACTGTAAAACAGAGGAGCAAAGTGTGCGGCTGTCCTCCCACCCTCCTGGCAGCACAGCCGCCCCCTGGCTCGGCACTGCCTGATTCTTTCCCTGCATGTAGCTGCCAGCCTCTCAGCTCCACTTGCTCTCAGCCATCTCTTCAAGGTTGGCCTACAGGGCTTCATAGCGAAGTCCCCAAGAGTGAACGCATGTGCAGGCCATGAACTTGCTGTGCGTGGCACATCTGAACCCTACAAAGACCAAGGCCTCTTTTCTCCAGCTCCTCCTTTTTCTGTCTTGAGGAGTAACCCTGTTGCCCCCACCCCACCATCATTCATTCCATACACCACCTGCTGATCTCACTGTTAGCACTGTTAACCAAGGAAGCCAGATTTCTTCACAGAGCACATTAAATGGGCTGGGTATTTTGTACCATGCCTGTCTTACAGACAGGAAAATGAATCAGCACAGTGCATTGGCATCACAGTGGTGTTCACATCACAGACTGACCCTGATGCTTATTGCTATAAAACAAACCATCCCAAAGCATCAGGCTGTCACATATATTCAGTACACAGACCTGCCATATACGTAGGGCTCACCTAGAACCACTCATCTTGCTCCACTGGGCATCAGCTGGTGCCTCCCCCCACCCCGTGGTGCCCCCAGGCTGAGCTGAGGCCACATGAGGCTGTTGCTGGATGCCCTCCAAAGCTGGGCACTTCTCTTAGCCACACTTGGACTGTCCCTGAGCATCTCTTCCACCACACTCTGTTTGAGACTCTGGTCCCTGAAGCCAAGCCAGACTCACCAAGGGCCGTGAAAGGCCCGGCTTTGCTGGGAGCCACAGACTGGCTGCAGCCATAGTGGAAGCTGGGTGGAAAGGGCTAACGTACATAAGAGAACTGTTGGCCCTTGGCGAGTCCCTTGCACAGAGAAGGGTAAAGGGTAGCCCATGGAAATGCTGTGAAGGTGGTATCACTTCCTAGGGCTTTGTCCACCCAGAAGCCCAGAGATGACATCTATCCTAATGGTTTAGTGCCCTTTTTTTTCAGCCCCAGCCTCATCAGGGATGGGGACCCTGGATGCCCAGTCCCTGTGTTGTCTTCTAGAAGTGAAACTTGCCCAAAGCTAACCACGCAGAGCCTAATAGAACCAGTTGAGTGTCAGGGCCACAACACAGCAAGAGGCCAGTGTGACTCTAGAAGTAAGGAGGGAAGTTTGGGGCCAAGTACAGGAAATCCTCTGACCGGAAGTGTTGCTGGATTGGGGAAGTGTCCCAAAGGAAGTAGGAGACAGCTGCAAACCACGGGCCCACCCCTGCCCAGCTGGAGAAGAGGCAGCTCCTATGCACATCTTGTCCAGCCAGTTCCTTTCCTGGGCCAGCTTTACTGTGACAGCCCTGCAACCTCAGTGAGAAATATTCTAAGTGTTCCTTGGGTACAAGCAGAATTTTCTTATCAGAAGAAAGCAGTTCCTTCCCTTTTCCCTACTAAAGGGGGCTTTTGTAGCAGCCCCGGGGTCCCCCATCCCCTAAGCAGTGTTCTTACCATGGGAGGCCTGAAAGGTCATGGCCTGGGGAAGGGCCCCCGCTCAGGGCCCCCTGGTGCTCTGCACTGCCCAGAACTGGAACGAACAGAAAGTCCAGGCTGCCTCTGTTTGCTTTAACCAGCATGCCTTTCTCACTGCAGAGTTATGAAGTGAAGAGTGTCCTCGGAAGGGAGCTGGGGTTGGCGAGCTGCTTCGTGCAGTCCATCACCGCCCACCCGGCCAGCTGCGTAGGACTGGAGGAAATCGAGCTTCTGAGCGCGGGAGGTACCTGGGCGGAGCCCCAGCCCCAGCCCCAGCCCCAGGCTCTGTGAACTTTGCAATGGGGCCACAAGGGCAGCGGTGACCGTGGAGGTGGTTAGAGATGGTTATTTGTTAACTATGGACACAGCGAATGTACTTTATGATCTTGACACCAAACTGAAGGGTTTTTCTTTTTCTGTTAGTAAAATCGTTTTGCAAACTATAAATTAAAATACCTTTTCTTGCAATTTTATGTTTCTTCCTATATGTTCATGAACCTGTTGAAGTCTTTTTTCTGTTTTCCTTAGGGAGTAATAATATATCAGAAAAACCCATTTTGTCCAGTTGCAGAGTGTGTAAAATGCAGTATTTACCAGTCCCCGAGAGTAGCTATGAAACAAACCTTCATCCCACACGATGACTGTAACTTGCTGCCTGGCTGTAATAAACGCGCAGCCAGGGCGTCTTCAGCATTCAGTATTTGGGGGCAAACTTTCTGGGGAACCGTGGCAGAGGTGAGACTGTTACCCATGAAGTGTAGGTAAGTCAGGTGGTGTGATCACAGCCACTGGACAGAGCGGGCACGCATTCCACCGGGCAGAACCCTGCTGCACACGGCAGAGACCTCAAGGAACAACCCGTTGCTGTTCGCTTTGCTGGCAAAGATTTCAAGTATACCCAAAACCACGAATTAATTATCTGTGCATGCCAAAGGTTTTGTATTTCCTCCTTACAACAATATAATCCCAAGGGGCCATGGTTAAAATAATTACATAATATCCACACAGCAGCAAACCCATGAAAAGGTGCCTGTTATGCCCGGTCTTCTTGGGCAACAGGCACATTGGCTTTTATGTGTTTGGATGACGCCTGGAGACTTGACAGCACCAAGATGAAATCTTAAGCAGCCTGGTGATTGTCCTTTTCATCAGCCACATGACTACTTTGTGCTTAGGCGCACTTTAGAAATCCGAGGAAAGTGAAAGCTCTGGCGAAGCCCCAGGCGACTGAGACAGTCCCTGTGTCACCTGAGCGCTGCACCCCCCCACACCCCCCAACTCAGCCACCTAATCTCCGGGAGGGGAGCCCTGGGCTGAGTTCAGCAGGGTACCCGGATCTCTCTCCCTCCCCCCGTCCTATCCCGGACTTTGGGGTTGATCACCTCCCGCTCCCAAGGCTACTAGCAACGTGCGCTTAGTCATCTGACCCCTCTCGGGCAAGTTCAGGAAGACCTGTGGAGCTGGACCTGGGCGGCTGTCCAAAGCAGTGTAGACCCCTCACCTCCCCGACGGGACACACACCTGGCCCCGCAGCCCCAGGCGCTCACCCTCCGCCAGGTCCTGGAACACGCCCTTGCGGCGTGCGGCAGTCGAACAGAGGAAGCAGGGGGCGATTTTAAATGCTGCTTTATTCTTACAAATACTGTAAAAATTAATATAAAAAAGTGAGCATGCTCAGTCTTCTCTTATCTACAATACAAAGGATTTGTCTGAAAAGTCCTTTTTGTTTGTTTTGTTTCCATACAAATGTACCTTAGCTGCATCAACAGAGGGTATGGTGTAGAAAAAGCTACCATTATAAAAATAATTTAGGGGAAAATAAACACGTATAGCTTCTTTTTGCAGTTCAGTGGTGGTTAAGTCCTGGCTGTAGCTTCCCTTCACTCACATGTCCCAAAGAAACTGCGCAGCGCGGGGCAGCAGTCTGGGTGCCCGAGCAGCGCAGGGGCCGGGCTGGGCGCGCTTGGCTCGCGGGCCATCGGTCTGAGGTATCGGTTGGTGAGTCTGTGCCACTCCGGCCGCTCGTTACCGGCAATCAGCGGCCCCGGTGGCCGGCAGGAAGGGCGGGCTGGGCAGTTGCTTGAAGAACTGCCGGAGGCCGGCCAGGTCCCGCGTGAGCTGCTCCACGCGCTGGTGCAGCTTCTCGTTCTCGGCCGACAGCTCCACCAACTTCTGCTGCATCTCCTGGTTGCGCCGCTTGGCCTTGTCGCGGCTCTTGCGCACGGCGATGTTGTTGCGCTCGCGCCGCTGCCGATACTCGGGGCTACCGCGGTCGGGACCCCTCTTGCCCGTGCCCTTCTCCCGGGCGGGGCCGGGCGCGGGGCTCGGTCCAGGGCTGCCTCTCGGCGGCTCCGGCGACGTGGGCGGCGTGGGTTGTGCGGCGGCCGCGAGGCTCACCACCGTCTGCGCGCACGCGGCCACCTGCGCGGGCAGAAGCGAGCCCGGCGCGTCGCCGTCACCCCAGTCGGGTTCGCGCTTGAGCGGGCGCGGGACGGCAGGGCCTGGGCCCGGGGGTCGTGCGGGGCCGCCCGGCAAGAGCTCCAGGGCGCCCGCAACGGTCGCACCGCCCGCCTTGTGGTTGCTGTTGAAGAGGTCGGCGAAGAGCTCATCGTGGCACAGCTCCAGGGTGGGCACGGCGGCCATGGAGTCGATGTAGGCGCTGAAGTCGATGGCGCTCTCGTCGTCGTACATGGCGGGGGCGGCAGCGGCGGCACCCGGCTCCCCGAGGGACCCCGGTTCTGCTCCGCGGCCTGGCTTTCCCGCCCGGCCCGGTTCGTAGAAGGGTGCGGGCTCCGCGGGCCAGGGCGCGCCGCGCGCCGGGCCGTCCAGGCTGAAGAGCGCGGCGCTCATGGCGGCGTCGGACCGGGCTCGGAGTCCAAGTGCGGCTGTCACCCCGCGGGGCCGGCCCGCCGCCTTTTCTAGCCCGGGCTGACGCGCACGCCCCGCCCCGGCTCCGGCACTGCGGGGGCGCCCGGGGGCCGCGGGGGGGACCGCCCTGAAAGCCCAGGCCCGGCACCCTGGAGCCGCCCCACCAGCCTTCCTACCCGGGCGCACCGGGCTTCTGGCTGCGCTGCGGGACCGCCCCCCCACCAGTGGTCCCGGGACCCCCGGAGGAGTGGGAGGCGGGGCGCGCGCCTCTAACCTCCGCCCCCGGCCGGCCCGAGGCGCGCTGCTGGGAATGACCCTCCCTCTGCCCGCACTCCAGGCCTTCCCTCCTTCCTGTTTGTGGGCTTTGGAACCTCCGGGTTCCTCGGTGCCGGCAGTGAAATCAAAACCAGGACTTGGCCGTGGCGCGCACGTCCCGGGACCGGCTGTCGTCGCGGCGGGGAGAGGGACCAGGCGGCTCCGGGACCGGGGATTGCGTGCCACCGGACGCGACTCCTGGGCCGTAGGCGGCCGGTTCGCCCACTCGACCCTTGCCCGGGCGCCTCCTCCCCAAGAACAGAGGCGGGAAGCTACCCGGAGGACACGGCGCCGGGACGGTCTCCCGCCTCAGTCTCCCGTGGAGCCCATGCCTGCGGGCGGCAGGGAGGCAGGAGGTCGTCCCGCACCTGCCTGTCCATCTCAGGATCCAGCCGACCCTGCGGGGTCGACGCCCCGCAGAAACGCGGCCGGTGCGTCCTGACCACGGGGCGGCAGGAAGCCCTCATCAAGAGCGGAGCGCAGGGTGACAGTGGCCGCCCTGGACGTGGCGTGCACGGGGCGCCGAAGCCCGCCTGCCGTCCCCAAGCCCGCGGGCACCCACAGTGCCCTCGAGCTCCCGCGCTCTGGCCGGGGCTCCCGCAGCTACTAAAGCAGTGCCATCTTGTGGCAGTGTCTTGCTTCTGCCCCGTGGTAGTGCCAGGCTCTCCCTCCCTGCACCATTCCCCTTTTTCAAATACTCCAAAATAAAGTACTGTTGAATGTAAAGGAACTGAGTCTTTTTCCAGGACATACGTAGCTGTCTCGGGTGTTAGGTTGCTAACTGTTCGCATTATAAAATACACGAGAAGACGCGGCACGCGTGGGGGCTTGTTTTCCTGAAGTTCAAGGCCGGCATTACTGAGTCACAGCCCTGGCCACCACCTTGCATCTCTTCCTCACCCTGTGTTGGTTCTGGGCGCCAAACACCCCACTAACGGCTGCAGATTATCTCTAACGATGCATTGTGACAGCGGCATGTTTAATAGGTTTTCTCTAAGGGCTGAAGCCCTTCACAGTCCTCAGGGCAACTCAGGTGAACGTTACACTGTAAAATTACAGATTGCATTTAGCTTTGGTTCATGCTCGCTCAGAGAAAAGGCCCACGCACTTCTTGGTTCGTTCTTACGAAGCCTCGGCGGCACTGTTAAAGCTCTCTCCAACTGGGCAGTGCCCGCACACTGGAAAGAAGGACTGGGCTCCAGCTTCCAGGAGGTGGGTTTCTAGTTGCCCAGCAGAGTGAATGCAGACGCACTTATTACCCCGGAGTTTATCAGACCCTGGCATGCAGTGCACCGCCCGAGGCCAAAGACACAGCAGAGCTGGGCAGAAAGGCGAGACCTACACTTCAAAAACTAACCAGCACTTTTATCAGCCATATTAAGTATAATCACTTCTTTTGGGGAAATTTTACATTTTTATTGGAAAGTCAGATTTGCAGAGAAAAGAAAGGAGAGAGAGCTGCCCAAACAGCCACAGTGGGAGCTGAACCGATCTGAAGCCAGGAGCCTCTTTCATGTCTCCCATGTGAGTGTCGGAGTCCAAGGACCCAGGTCATCCTCCTGTGCCTCCTATGCCATAAGCTGAGAGCTGGATCAAAAGTGGAGCAGCTGGGACTTAAACCAGCGCTGACGTGGGATGCCAGTGCTGCAGGCAGAGGGTTAACTTTGTCACGGAAGCACGCCAGCTCCAACTAGAATCACTTTTACACTTAGGAGCTTTCTTCTCTTTTTCAGAAAGAGACAAGGGAGCGATCACAGGACAACAAAGCATGGGTTGGTTGAGCGTGTTAACACATTTTACATATAAACACACAAACAAATAAAATGCAGTGGGCATGAGGGGGCAGCAGGGCAAGCCAAAATGTGGACTCCTGCGTATCATATGTGAGTGTCTGGGGTGAAATCTCACCTTGGTGTCCCATCGTGCTTCCTGCTGATGAGGCGGGGACGTAGAAGACGTAGGACACAGGACCTGGGTTCCTTCCGCCCGCGTGCCAGAGCCAGATGGAGTTCCATTACAGACATTCAGGAAGTAAGTCAGCAGACTGAGTCTCCAGCATTATCCCCTTCCCTTGAGCAGTCTGCCTTTCAAATACATAACACTTGGTATTAAATTTAAAGTTTAGGATCAGTGCCATAGTTCAACAAGCTAATCCTTCCCCTGCAAATGCCAGCACCCTATACGAACTCCAGTTCATGTCCCGGCTGTTCCATTTCCCATCCAGCTCCCTGCTTGTGGCCTGGGAAGCAGTTACAGGATGGCCCAGAGCTTTGGGACCCTGCAGCTACATGGGAGAACCAGAAGTTCCTGGTTTCTGGCTTTGGGTCATTGCAGCCATTTGGGAGAGTAAACCAGCAAATGGAAGTTCTCTCTCTCTCTCTCTTTCTCCTTCTCTCTATAAATCTGCCTTTCAAATAAAAATATTTTTTTTTTTTGCAAAAAGCACCATTTCATTTTTATGATGTTTGTGGTCATTTCTTTGTCGAAACTTACAGCCCTATTTTCCAAACCCTGTCCTAACTCTCCCTGTTAATTTACTCAAGGTGAATGCATTTGTTCTATGAGTTTTCCATCACTAGAAATCGATTTCAACCCCAGAGCCTATGGAACTATATCATAAAATAATACATTTTTAAAAATTGGTTTCGAGTCATTCTCTGGCCCTTCTTTGTGTTTGGTAGATTTGTCTGCGAAAAAGGGGGCTGGCAATCCAGGAGGAACGTGACACCCCCTCCCCCCCCCCGTATCTGTTAGAACTTACCTCTGTTGAGCACCAGTAAATTGTTCCAAATAAACATGCAGGTGCCTACAGGCCCTTCCTGGGACTGAGGGTTTGGCTCCCCTTCAGCGTGGCCAGACTCCGAAGGCAGGTCTGTTTTCCGCTGTGTGTCACCTTGGAGTGACCGCACCTCAGCGCTCACCCCGGGGCTCGTAATGGGAAGCTTTGTGCAGCATAAGGGCATTCCTGCCAGATTAAAGTCTGACAAAATGGATGTGTTTTTGAGCAGTACTCCCCAGAAAGGTTCCCAGAAGTTTGGAGGGTGGGACACTGTGCTGACTAGCGCCCTCTTCAGGTTGTTCTTTCCAACTAACGTTTCTGCTTCACCTTCTGCCTCAGGGTTGATTTTTATCATTATGGCTGTTCCGGTGTTTTGTGTCACTGTGTTGAGGCTTATATGTCCAAAAATATGGACTTTCCTTAAATGAGATTTGCTCCTAATGTAGGAATTTGGAAAAGGCAGGACAAGGGCCACACCTCCTTATGCGGTTAGACTGTTACATTCCACCCCAGGGGCCTGCAGGTAATCCGAGGTGAGGCTGCAGCCTGGATCACCCACACTCCAGTCCTGGAGCTTCTCCCCATTCCCGTGTCCTCCTAAGGTGTGCTCTGGGGACAGTGTGACGGCCCTTGGCTGCCTGCTGTCCACATGGAAGGCCCAGGTTGAATTCCTGTGTCAGCCAGGCCCAGCCCCAGCTGTTGCTGGTATTCGGGAAGTGAGCCAGAAAATAGAGGCCCTCTCTCTCTCTCTTCCTCTCCGTGTCTCTTTTGTTTCTTTGCCTCTCAAATAATAAGGAAAAAACAAATCTGCCAAGAAGAAGTTAAAAAAAAAAAAAAGCCCTGCCGGCAGAGTCAGCCTCTGGAAGTTGAGCCACTGACCTCCAGAAGAGGCAGCTGCCAGAAAACAGGTGTGTGTGTTTGTGTCTCACCCACCGTATACTTGCTTACATATTCCTCAGGACATATTCATGGGAGGGATATCTTACCCTTGTTTTAAAATTTATTTTAGTTTTATTTGAAGGGCAGAAAGAGAAGACAGAAATGTACCATCTGCTGATACACTTGCCCAAACAGCTACAACAGCCAGGGCTGGGCCAGGCCAGAGCCAGCAGTCAGGAGCCCCCAACCCATGTCTCCCCCGTGGGGAGCAGGGGCCGGGGATTTAAGTTATCTTGTGCTACTTCTCAGGTACACCTTAGCAAGCAAGCAACAGGGTCAGAAGTTGGAGTAGCCAGGACTGAAAACAAGCACTCCGATATGATAGCAGGATTCCCCAGGGAGTGACTTAACCACGCACAAAAAGGCCTGCCTCTGGTTTGTTGTTTTCATTTTTTTTTTTAAGATTTATTTATTTATTGGAAAGTCAGATATACAGAGAGGTGGAGAGACAGAGAAGGAAGATTTTCCATCCGATGATTCACTCCCCAAGTGAGCGCAACAGCCGATGCTATGCCCATCTGAAGCCAGGATCCAGTAACTTCTTCCGGGTCTCCCACGTGGGTGCAGGGTCCCAAAGCTTTGGGCCATCCTTGACTGCTTTCCCAGGCCACAAGCAGGGAGCTGGATGGGAAGCGGGGCCACCGGGGTTAGAACCGGCGCCCATATGGGATCCCAGGGTGCTTCAAGGCGAGGACTTTAGCCACTAGGCCACTCCGCCAGGCCCTGTTGTTTTCATTTTATTTTCATAGTCTATCAGGGTTGGAAAGGTCGAGGATTAGGGGAAAGTGAGTGAGACCATTGTATCCAAATTTTTTTTTTACTTCTTCCTGTATCTGGGGGGAGGGGGAAGATAAGGAGATAAGCCACACCCAGCCTCCCAACTGCCTCAGTATCCTGGGATGGGGAATAGCCACCCGATGTTATCCCAGGGTCCCCAATGTGGACCATGCTCTGAAGGATCTGCTCAAGTGGTTTCAATAGTTCTGAAATGTTGTCCATCTCTCCAATCCAAAGATG